GAGAGAGAGAGAGAAAGAGGGGTAGTGCATGGCTTATATATGACAACGCCACCTATATACTGTCTCACAAACGTGCCACTATGTGTGTATTGGTTTTTAGACGATAGCGCCACTGGTATACATATATACAGCTGTACTTTCTATTTGTCTATCCGTCTGTCTGCCTATACATAATATCGTAATAGTTTAAACACTGCCTGGTGTTCAAATGAAGCGGTATACGTCATGCATACAGGTGTGTGTGTGTATACAGGTTGCAGGTGTGTCACACACACACACACACACTTGTGTGTGTGTGTGTGCGTGTGTGTGTGTGCTGTGTGTGTGTGTGTGTGGTGTGTGTGTGCTCTGTGGTGCGTGTGGTGTATTGTGGTGTAAGTGTGTGTGTGTGTGTGTGTTGTGTGCTGTTGTGTGTGTCGTGTGTGGTCGTGATATTGTTGTGTGTGCTGTGTGTGGCTGTTGTGTGTATGTGTGTGTGTGGGTTGTGTGTGTGTGATGTGTGTGTGTGTGTGTGCGAGTCTCTGTGCGTGCGTGCGTGCGTGCATGTCTCTGTGCGTGCGTACGTGCGTGCATGTCTCTGTGCGTGCGTGCGTGAACGTCTCTGCGCGTACGTGCGTGCATGTCTCTGTGCGTGCGTGCATGTCTCTGTGCGTGCGTGCGTGCATGCATGTCTCTGTGCGTGCATGTCTCTGTGCGTGCGTGCGTGAACGTCTCTGCGCGTGCGTGCGTGCATGTCTCTGTGCGTGCGTGCATGTCTCTGTGCGTGCGTGCGTGCGTGCATGTCTCTGTGCGTGCGTGCGTGCGTGCATGTCTCTGTGCGTGCGTGCGTGCGTGCATGTCTCTGTGCGTGCGTACCCTTGTATTTTCGTGAAGCATTTGGCGGATATTGCGTCAAACATTGGCGCAACAACATCATATTCGATAGAAACACAATTACTCAGTGCCTCTATGAATGTGGCCGGATAAATGCGCCTCAGACTATAAATGGTTGCAGAGAAAGATGGCCGCACGTCGCATCTCTAGTTATGTCTGGCATTTAATTATTTACCGATTAACAACGTGTGCTAACACGCTCACAGTATTACGCCGAGGGAGGAAAAATAATTAATAAGAGCTAGAGCTTCGGTAACCGGACGTCGGCATTCGAACGCCATCTTGCGGCAGATGCGTACCACGGGAATCAAATATATCATATATACATGATATATGATATATGCATATATATGTATATATATGTATATATGGCGGGAATATGCGAGAGCGAGGACGCTCTCCACGCGGACCGTGGCGCCATCCACATTCGAAAAAATATACACTCGGTTATTTCGGGCGCATCTACCCTCTATAATAACGCGTGTAAATGCACGTGTGCTATATAGGCACCGTCATGATGACTACAATTCAACAAAGGTCGATAGTTATTTAGCCCGAACATTGTCATGCGCGTGCGCGTGTGTGTATGAGTGTGTGTGCGTGCGTGCGTGCGTGCGCGCGCGCGCGTGTGTGTGTGCGTGTGTGTGAGAGAGTGTGTGTGAGTGTGTGTGCGCGTGCGTGTGCGCGTGTGTGTGCACATATAGGCATATTATATATATATATATATATTTATATATATATATTATGTGCGTGTGTGTGTTATTACGTGATGGTATATCGAGCGGCAGCGCCTGCCGGTGTCCGGCGTTTATTCACAACCCGTCATGTATAATGAATATAACAGGCAATCATGACACGTGCCTGCGAACGAAGGTCGGCCGGAGAGATCGATACTCTATCAATGCTATACAATTTAACGCCGATAAATAGCATGTAATTACGAGAGCGGAGGATGAATCATTCTATGTTAATTACAGTGTTAATTACACAGTTTAATGTGCGGCAGCGTGCCGCTTCAGTGGCTCGGTAGATGAGGCGAGAGTGAGAGTGCATGAACCCAATCATCCCAGACATGGTGAGAATCCCCCGCCCCTACACAGCCTCCCGCACACAGCCTCCCGCACACAGCCTCCCGCACACAGCCTCCCGCACACAGCCTCCCGCACACAGCCTCCCGCACACAGCCTCC